TTGTTAAACCCAACTAAAAAATATCTGTATGAATGTATATCCTTCTATAAGAATACATGTATATAGTTGCAAAATCAATAGCAATCATTTACAACATTCATTTATAAGGGCAATTATGTGAAAATAATATATTGTCCGCTATATGCCATAAATTAAAGAAAACAGTAGGTTTTTGACAGTTTTTACCGGCAAAAACACGGTTTTTACCACTGTCATGTCAAAAACCAGTTTTTGAGGGCAAAAACCCAACCCTGATGTATATATATATATATATATATATATTTAAAAAAGAGGTTAGGTTTTAATAATATTTTATATACTTGGATATTTATTGTCCTTTTTAAGTTTCATTAATGATTTTAGCATACTTATAATTAAGGTACGTATCTGATTACTGCTAAAACATGATTCTGGACATTTTCGAAACTGTGTTTATTCTAAATTTAAAACTTGCTTTCTAAAAATACTTTACTTTTGTTTGTACTTTATAAGAAATACTTTACTTTTTACTAAATAAATACTATACTCAGAGCCGGATTATACCTTTCGTAGGCCCTAGGCATAGCCGTTTTTTGCCCCTCCCCTCCTTCCCCCACTCCTCCCCTCTTTTCAAAATATATGCTAAAATTTTCTTGCATATTTTTTTTAACATTTTTATTAATGTAGATTTTAATTTGTTTATCGAACTTTATCTGCAATACCGACATACTGCCGATATTGCAGTTGATATCGATAATACCATTATGATTAGTTCGATCGATACTATGTAAACACTTCACGTCAACAATACAACAACAAACCAGCAAAGAAAACAGTGAAATTGATAGTGAGATTAATTACAAGAAATATTTATACTAATAGCTTCATAGTTTTCATGATACTACTATGATAACTAAGTGAAGGAAATTAACATTGTCAAAAGCTCAAATTAAAGATAAACTTGTGAATACTTTTCCTAACGTTCACATTGCATTAAGAATATATTTGTCGATTCTTGGATCAAATGCAGAAGGAGAAAAATCTTTCTCCAGATTAAAATTGATAAAAAATTATTTGCGTGCAAGAATGAATCAAGATCATTTGGCATCGCTCGCACTTATGTCTATTGAATACGATATTTTGCGTAGTTTGGAATTCGACAGCATAATACAAGATTTCGTTGAATCCAAAAATCGCAAAAGAGTAATATATTAGATCATAAGATTCTGCAAAATAATTTATTACCGAAAAATATTATACTTTTATTTGTATTTTCATGATTTTGTACAAAATACACTTGTTGTTTTTAAAGCTAAATTACTTTCGTCAACAAATTTTTTTTCTCCCAAGTTTTTCGTAGACCCCTGAATTTCGTAGGCCCTAGGCACGTGCCTAGTGTGGCTCTAGGTTAATCCGGCCCTGACTATGCTTTAAAAATACTTTACTTTCGTTTAAAAATATTTTCCCATTATTTACTTCTTACAAAGCTGAAACAATTTTAAAACAATTTTCATTGAAAAATATTTTGGCAATTTTTTGAGACTATAAGATATGTTGTTAATATAAAGATTTATTAATATTTATATTATTTATAGGAGTTGGATAAAATATCAGAATCAAAATATGAAAAGTATAAGAATGAAAGTGATTATGATCAAGCAGGCAAAAGAAGATGTAAAGCTAATTTACGTAAATTATGCCAAGATGGAAAATTAGAAAAAATCAGAAAAATAGAAATCGATAAATGTACTAAAGAAGTCCACTATAAATTTACTGGTTTGTAGAATTTTAATCAGACTTTTTTATATAGCAAATGGAATGTAACTTTTTTTAAATGTTCAGGGTATAAGTGGAAAAAGAATGTAATTTTGTTGATGTAAAAGTGTATAAGATAAAAGAAATTGCCAAAAATACATAAAATTATTTAAGTATATATGATAGATTTCAAAAAGCTGTTTATCATTAAAAGTATATTTTGATATTTAAGTACACAATTTCGAATAACAAGTAAGTCATCTGTGAAATCTGTAGTGAAACGAAATTAAGCTTGAATCAAAGAGGCTGGTTTAAAACATCGATAGGGTTTTTTATTAAATTTTAATTATGAAAATTTAAATCAAATAGCATTATAATTCTTGCTGAAAGATTTATGTGTTTCCAACAAAGTTTTTGTTTTCAATGGCATAATTTAAATTAAAAATTAATATATTGAATAAAACATACTAAATAGTTATCAATCTTAGATCAGAACTCAAGTAATATAAATCAAATGTCTCTACTGGAATTTGAACCCTTTATCTTTCAGAAGACGTATTGCTTAAGTGTAGTGATTTGATTCCACAGAGCGAAAAACTTTTATTTTATGAGTAAATGAGCTGAAACTTTAAGTGGGCCTATTGTACGCCAGGGACCGCAGTCACAGCAAATTTTTTCCCAATCCAAGTTTTTCGACCATGGTTTTTAAAGCGTGACAGCTTTGTTTACACTTTGTCACTAATTTAGGTTGATTTATTACCTTGTTGGCCATATTTGGTACATTTTTATTGCCACCATTTTAGTTACATGCTAAAAACTAGCATAACAATGCAATTCTATCACATTTTAGGTTTACACTTACTATACTTATTTTTAATACCAAATTAACATTTCACTGAAAAAAAAAATACAATCAATCTATATTAAATATTTTCCTCGTAAATAACAGCTTTATTACTATTCGAGTTAATTTCATAAGATTATAGCAATTTACACACAAAGTATCATTTAACCGCACTGAACGTGCATTTCATCATAAACGGAAATTAGTATTAAACACATTTAAGTCACTCACATTTAAAATATGTATCTTATTTCTTTTCTACTGAATAACTTTAAGACATGTCAATGTTTTTTTTTACAATTTTAACATATGCGGGGTAATAATAAATGTATTTAATTATCGTAAAACGAATTCCTTTTCCTTATTTAATCTTGTGACGTACAAAAAATATTTTTCCCTTTGAAGCTGATGCAACTTGCTGTCTAAACAATGATGGCATTATTAAAATTTACATTAAAACTAATCAAAGCATTACTCTCTGACAAATATACCTGGGTAATCTCACTTAATTCACTACTAACCAACTTTGCAGTTCCTTAACCTTACTAAAATAGTGTAGCAAATTCATCCTAAATTTAAAGTTAATTGCGATTCTAACTCAAAAAAAGGTTTGCTTTATTTCCTTTGCACCTCTCACATTCCTGATCATGACATTAAATTTTTTACCTTTGCAACTTATCAATCCTGATCATGACATTACATTTCTTTCCTGTGCAACTTATCAATTCTGATCACGACATTATATTTCTTACCTGTGCAAATTATCAATCCTGATCATGACATTACATTTCTTACCTGTGCAAATAATCAAACCTGATCATGACATTATATTTCTTACCTGTGCAAATTGTCAATCTTGGTCAATATTATCATCTATCTTGGCTAGAAAAAAGTAATTGAAACACATTGGCAGAACAGAAACTAAGTAGTGCTGGTTTTCATTTAATCAATTAAAAAAAAGGTATGAATTCCTATGCTTTTTTTCTTTGATAGGTTATTAACTTTCATGTACAAGATTATGAATCTTCATTTCAATATGCATTCTTGTTGACACAGCAATTTGGATTTTTCGCATGTTATTATCAACCTATTTCATATTTATGTATTTGTTTTGAATAATAAAATTCAATTAATCTAAAGTGTAAAAGTTAATAATTTTTGATGCAGGAGACACATTTTTTTTTTGTATTGAAAGTAGTTGTAGTTATACTTGAGTCAACAGAAAATTTAATCTCTTTGCCTGCCAAAGTAAGATATAAATGTCAACATAATATGTAATTTTTAGTGCAAAAAATGGATTATTTTAGATTATATTCAATAGTGTAATGTAGGTTCTATTCAATTGCACATGCAATAATTTTTTGCTAATTGCTAAATTTTCTTCAGAAGTTTTTTTTATAATTTTTGATAACTATAAATGTTCTTTGGGTACCATCTAAAATAGACAAACAAGCATCCCTGGATTAATTATTTTCATTTAACAGTTTTATTTTGCAAATTTAAATAGCAAAACAATTTCTTTTTTTTTACATTGAATTAAAATACCTAACTAAGCTATTTACTTTCCTGCATGGCTTTGTAGGGTATATAATTAGCTCTACAAACATCAGTTGTTTTGGATTGTGTGACAGTTTCAAGCACTCTCTGCTTTACGATCTTAGTATAATGCTTTGTGAAGGCGGAGCAAATGAGCCTCAAGTTTTTACTTTCAAAACACCGGCAAAGAAACCTTATGTAAAAAGGAAAAAAATTATATAAACTTTTATAAAACTGGTTTATTTTTTTTCCAACGCATATTTATTAAAGCTGATGAAATTGAACATTTAAAAAAATTTTTTAATGTTACTTAAAATTTTTTAATCAATAATATGATTATATTGTTCAATCAAATATAATTTAAACTAAAAATTATGTGTAAATCGACATTCAAAGATGCATTTTATTTTTAAAAAAATAGTTTTAAAACCACTGAAAAGTTTATTAATATATCTCCCCGAAATGATACTTATAAAAAATTTAACCAGTTGAAAATAATCCTAACAAAGGAAATACTTGTAGTAGTAATCAGTATTTAGCCTATAAACACAGATAATTTTACCAGTGTAATTATTATTTAAAAACCATGAATAAATTTTTTTCCTAAGTGGAATCTGAATAAAAAGGCAGTGATTTTAAGGGATTGTGGCTTACTTTTACAAAAAGGGTAAAGAGAGTGCATTCATTGGGATCAAAGGGCAAGCAGGGCAGACTGTCCTTCAAAAAACTCTTAGGGAGAACACAACTTATACAAATATTAAGGTGAACTATTTTATGCATGCTTTGCTTTAAAGGCATTGTTTTTTTTTTACTGACCAAGCTTTTTCAGGAAAATTTACATAATTGCTATTTCTATCTGTAGAAAACTTTAATCTCTACAAAACTATATCAAAGGAAACAGCACTCATGTTTCTTTAGTTTAGAAGAAAAATCTTTTAGCCATGTTAGGATGTTTTCAGAAGCCTGTCTAATATAATTTTTGATTCCTTGCTTGCAAGTATTTAATTCCAGCTTGCAAGTATTTAATGTGAAACTTAATGCAAAAATTTTGCCTTTTAAAACTTGCTTAAATGGTTAGAGCCTTGAAAAAAATTGTGATAATTGGTATTTTTAAAATACATTGTATAACCAATGATCATTAAGATAATTACACTATAGGAATATAAAGTGATAGTATGCTTGTGATACAATTTTAAAGGGTGTGAAAAATTTAAGAATATGGTATTTTGTCATTTTTTATTAATTTAAGAGTGTAATGTTCAACTAAAAGGTATCAACTAATTTAAAAATTTTATATCAATTTTCATCTTTATAATGTAAATTTTTTCCTGACTAAAGGGTTTTTAAAATAAAAATGTCAATTTTCCCATCTACATCAGTGTTTCTCAAACTTATGACTTTTGTGTACCCTTTCTAAATTTTTCGTAACTCTCTGTACTATGAATAAAAAAAATGAATATATTTTTTATAATAAAAAAATTGCACAAACGTTAAAAATCATAACTGGCTGTTGACACCATTAATTATTAGCTGTTAACTCAGCAAAAAATAGCCAATAGAAAAATACATAATCATAAATTTTCATGGCTAACTTTGTTTTTAAATAAAATTCTTTGAAATTTTTCGTTTGTTGCAAGATATTTTGCATAAGAATGCTTACCCCCGCTAAACTGTTTCCGTACCCTAAGGGGTATGCATATCACACTTCGGGAAACACTGATCTACATTACTGTACTACTGTAAATCACTAATACCTTCTTTTGATAAAATTTATATGTAATGCTTATTTGATTATTTTTTAGACGAAACCAGTAATGAGCAGACAAGTAGTATGGTAAGTACCCTATCATACATATTGAAATTTATACTTATCAGGTTTTATTAATAATAAGAAAAAAAATAGCTAATGGAAAATATAATACTTAATTGTTTTTTGAAACTCTCTCAAAACTAAGTGTCTTAATAGTAAGATAACTTATAGCACTGTTTGATTTAATATTTGTTTGATAGCTTAATACCCTGTTTAAGTATTACCATTTATGTTTAGCATAGTGAAATCTATTACGAATCTTCTACCTTTTAACTCTCCATTCCGTACAATATTTAAAACTAATTCTTTTTGAGAAGTTGCATTTCATTAATGGTTATGAAATTTAAATATTTGAGGAATTCATGATTTACAGACTATCTGCAGCACTGTATTGAAATATTCAAATTTGTTTGTGATTTTGACACAGTGAGGCAGAGATTATTATTGTAAAAATTGCACTTAATAAATTATTGTAAAAATTATATCTATATTCAGTAGCTTCTCCTTCTGACTTATACATATTTCTATATTTATATATATTTAGCACAATTTGCGTATTAAAAATATAATTAAGCTTTACACTAAAACTTTGCGTTTTAATTTAATTTGCTTATTAGTTTTAACAAGCTCTCTGCTTTTTCTGCACACAATTTTTTTCTCCTTTTGTTCTTAAAAAAAATCGGAATCTGCAGATACTGTGGTAAACACAGCATAGCCCATTGCTGGAGAGTATCTACTACCGGGACACTTGGGTAACACTTTTATTCAGAAGTTGCATTTTAATGATGTCTTGATGGTCTATCTTGATGTCTTGACATCATATGGTCTTGATGGCCATATGATGTCTTGAATATTTGAGAAATCAATTAATTATCAATGTCACTTTGATTACTTGAGAAACCAGTTAATGTACTAACAATATATTTATCTAAATTTATTATATATTTATATTTCCTAAATAATTGAAGCTAAATAAAATAATTATGTCTGAAAGCATTTTAAAATGGAGGTTTTATGATTTTCTTTTCTTTTCTAGTTCTTAAAAATGTTTGTTTATTCCTCTGAAGAATAATGGGAAATTCGGAAGTTAATTAATAAATAATTATTAATGCATGTATTTGAATTTTATTTATTTATATTTCTCATCAAATTCTGTTTAACTTAATATCTCAATGTGTTAAAGAAATTGCTATTGATCTTCAATTAAGCTAATTTTGTGATTACAAACATAGTATGATCCACATATATATTTCAAACTATTTATATATTATAACTGCAACAGTACTTTTTTGAAATATTTAAATTTTTTAAATAGAATAAAAGGGGATTTTTTTTAGGAAGCAAAGTAATATTTTTTTAAAATAATACAAATCAATTATTGTTTGAATTAAAATATATTTAATTTCTGTTTGTTAAATCATAGTTAACTTAATCAGTTTTTGTCTTAAAGCATTTGATAACGATTATTCTTGTGAAGGAAATATAAAATGACGTATTGGTTTTATTGAAGAAGTATATTTTTTCTTAAGATTATGTTGGCAACAAGATTAAAATGGGGCAAAATCCAGCCACAGCTTTCTTTAGTTAGGAATGTTTTCATCCAAGAATCTCACTTCTCATGTCTTCCAAAATTGGTAAAGTAATTTTTTCGTATGACGAATTCCTTGCACTTGCAATGCTTCAGGGTTTTTTTTTTTCACTCTCTTGCAATGAATCATATAATATTTGACATTTCCACGTTAACTACTTCAAAAGAGGTTTTCAAAATTCTTGACAGTCTCTCCTTCTCTAAATAATTTTTTTTATTTCTTAAATTCATTGTGAAAAAGTACCACCTACGTTTCCGAACAGAAGAAAAAACAAAAAACTATCACAACAAAATGCTAAAAATTGGAACAAATAAAGACAAAATATTGTTTATCAGGAAAATTTAGAAATAACAAGACCACCACAACCCAGAATGAGTAAAAAGAACTGAAAATTGCAATAGCTCTTGAACAAATTGGAATTTTGAAACAAACTCTCCTTATGTCATGTCTCATACTAATAACCAAATCATAAAATATTTTATTCTATTGTACTCCTTTTGCATTTTCTACACCTTATAATTACAAGTTTTTAAGTCTTTTAGTTTTTACGCAACAAAACAAAATATAACATAAAGGAAAAAAAGAATAAATTTGGAACTAATTATCAAATGCTGTTTTTTTTTATTTCACAGTATTCCCTATACATTTCTGTGTAATTTTTGATAATTTAAAATTTCTATTGAAAGTAGTTTTTGCGTTAAAAAACAAGTGTAACATTATGTTGAACGCTGAAAATAGCAGCTGTGACTTTTTCGATCTTTTAATGTAGAGAGAGTTATGTAAACAATATTAAGTTATTTTCCTCTAAAACTGATTAACTATTTTTTTTATAATTTTAACTTTCTGATATTCACTTTTACATATTTAAAATAAATTAAGGTGAAGATCAACTGCAGAAAAATCGTAACAGAATCTTAATTACTTTTTTTTGCATATTTCTGTCAATGGTTGTTTTAACTTCATGATGTTAGTTAAAAACAAATTGAAGGATGTTTTCAAAACAGTTGTAATATTTATAGGTTAACTGTTTCTCAATGAAAATATATATATATACAGGGTGCGTAGCGTTTTTAAAAAGTGCTTAAAGGTGCTTATTTTCGATTTTCATTATTTAAAAGCCCTTAAAGGTGCTTTTTTCATTGGGTGTTTTTAAAAAGTGCTTAATTTTCCCTCTTTCAAAATGAGATTTTTCCTTTACTATATTGATTTTCGCTTCAAATTATGCAAAAAGACCCAGTTCACATTGTTCTATTCAATGTTTTCGCAATTAATTCAACCCCAATCTATTTTGGCGCATTGTCAGTTTGTAGCTAATGCAAACGCCACTCGGTTTACATTATTCAAAATGTCATGATTTTTGACAATTGTCAAAAACATTGCTGCCAATCCTGCCTAATTATATTTTTTTAAAGTGCCTAAAAATATTTTTTGAGTGCTTGAAAAGTTTTTGAAAGGTGCTTATTTTTTGTTGAATAATTTGGCTATGCATCCTGATATATATATATATATATATATGTTTGCAAGTAAAAAGATATTAGTGTATTTAGTAATCATTACTTAACTCCTCTGCTACCTTGTCAGATAAAATTAGTAAATCATAAAAGCCTTCTCTTTTTACATGCATGTGTAATATTTGAGTGGGTTCCCTATTTATATAGGATATATATTATATACAGAGACTGACTGTTATAGATTCTCCAAAGTTTCAAAAAATATTTTTCTTAGTGGTAGTGCAGGTCAAACATTTATATAGCAGTAAATTATAACTAAAGGAATTTGTATCACCATTAAACATAAGTAATCAGCGTGCATAGCATTTTTAAAAAGTACTTAAAGGTGCTTATTTCAATTTTCGTTTTTTTTAAAAGCCCTTTAAAGTGCTTTTTTCATTGGGTATTTTTAAAAAGTGCTTAATTTTCCCTTACTCAAAATGAGATTTTTCCTTACTATGTTGATTTTTACTTCGAATTATGCAAAAAGACACAGTTCACATTGTTCTATTCAACGTTTTCATAAAAGTGCTTAAAAAAACTTTTTGAGTGCTTGAAAAGTGCTTATTTTTTGTTGAATAATTTGGCTACGCACCCTGGTAATCTAAACAGTATATAAGGTCATAAATACAAATGCTTTAGTTTTATTATTTTTGTTTTTAAATACCTGTTTAAAAAAATTCTCCTCTAGTTCACTATCTGCAAAAAAAGTAATTTGTATCAGCCTCAAATTGTTGGAGTCTTTGTATAATGTATGATGAATACAAATGGCAAGAATCTGAAATTAAATTTATAAATAAAGAAAATGAATGAAAAAACGAATAGCGGAGAATAACTATGGAAGATAAGGATATAACAAATTAATATTAGTAGGAAAATATGGAAAGCATCACTCTACTTATTTTCCAAAAATTAGTTTTCAATTGATGGAAAAAAATTTTTTCAAAGAATTGAAACTACCTTTTTTGAAGATAATAGAATAAAGCACTACTTTATAACATAAAATATTCTTATATCCAGAAATTTAAATCTTTTTAAAATGGCCCTTAACAGTTAATTTCACTGATTTTGAAATTTTATGAGATTCCATTTATGAAAGGCAAACTAACGTTGGAACTCAGTTGTGTTAAACCTCTTTTTACACTGTTCGCTTTGATACAAAACTTATCATTTTGTAAGTTCATTTAAATTGTCTATTGATCTCACCTTTACAGTGTGAAGACTTCGTGTTCCCATATAAAAATGCTCTGCAGTACAATATTAATTATGAAAAAAAAAATAATAATTTTGTTAGAAATTCAGACTTGTTAGTTTTTAAAACTGTGCCAATTGTTATTTGCCAAGTATATTCATAGCTTTGGAGTAACATCATTCTTCTTTTATAGTAACTTTTTTTCTTTCAGCCGCAAAAAGGAAAACAAGGTACAAAAGGCCAGAAACAAATTGTGGAAGAAAATAAAGAAACCTTAAAATTTTACACAATTATGGCAGTAGGTGCTGAGGTAAGAAGAAAATTAAGTAAATTCAGAAAATTTTGGTTTAGGTATTTTATTGGTTCTTTAAACATTTGACTCCTCTTCGTATAGCTTTTCTTATTACTTATTTTTAAGGCAAAATCCTTTTATTCTTCACTATACTTCCATTTAAGATCCTAAAACAGCTGTCAAAATTAATTTTAGTAGCCAGTGGACAATTTTATTTCAGTAAAAAAGCATTCAATACTAATAGATTGATTGTGAAATTACTTCTAATTAAAAATTTTAATGAACCTGATATAATAATTTGAAATAGTCTCAGTTATATATTTTTATTGTTGGTTATTAATTTTCAAGTTTTGTAAATTAATAATATTTACCACAGTTGAAAATTAAACATATNTAATTACATGGCGGTCATTTCTCCGACCCCCTGTGGGTGCGTGAGCTGTCCGGCTCGGCTGTGCTGAAATTCTTTTTCGCCATGGATGAATCTTTGGAGGGCAGATTTTGAGAAGTAAGACTCCAGCGGCATCCCACTCCCGTGTTAAAAAAGGGATTTATGTTCCATTCTCTCACCGTTCCTGTTTTATGATACGCCAAAAATGTGGTTTTTTTAAGAAGCTGTCCATGTTAGTCTCCACTAATGCCTATCCTTTTTCAATCATGTGCCAGAAATTAGTGTGCTGATGTATTTGCGTTCCTTGTGGCAGTGCTCCTCGATGTTGTGATTCCCTGTTATCTGTTTTATTGAACCTTCTGCAGCAAAATAAAAATAAAACGAACATGTTTTTTGGGTAACCGGAACTCATTTATTCTGTTTCTTTTTCAAGAACATTAGTTATTGTTTTTCAACATTTCAGACAGCTCAAAGTAAACCTGCAACAGGTATGTGGAACTCAATTACAATGACGTATTGATCTTTTTGGTGTTTTTTACATTTTTATTTCTAAGGGTTATTGCTTGCAATCTTTTACGTACTTTTTCACTTTTGGAGTAGTCACGCGCCATAATTAACTTGTCTTTTATTTCTTTCAACCTTGTAACAAAAGTAATTAATTAACTAAATTTATAATGTTTTCCAACTAATTTAACTGCAACATTTTGTACCTCACCAATGTGTATTTTTATGTTAGTTATTGAGGCACATCGCATAAATTTAATTGTATTTTATTTTCGGCCAATTTTTTTAAATTTTAACAACAGCAACACCATGTAACAAAATCTTTCTTTTTTTTAAAAGGTAAATGATTGGATTAATGCAGCTTTAATTTCTAATGACGATTTTTGTTTCTCTAATAACGAAACTGAACATGAGGTGAGTTGTTTACTTTTTTTTTTGTATATGTATTATCTAATTATATTAATAATTGAACAAAAACTATGTCTTTAGCATAAATTAATATTCTACAACATATCAATTTTTTTTTGGATTTCATTTTTCACTTAAATAAGAATGTGCTATTTTATTTAAAAAAAATTGTAATTGTTTTCTGCTCCTTATTTTAAAGGGTCAGTTTTATTCAACATAATAAAACAAATTTCATAAGTTTTGTTCTATTTATCTACAACCTGATGAGCCCAGCATTCCATGCATTAAATTGTTTTATTTGTTTTTATCAAAAATATATAATTCTTCAAAGTATGTACTTGTGATAATGTGATATAGGAATTATTATTGTGATAATAGTTAAATCAATATAATTTTAACCCTGCTTAAATGTGCTTTTTTTTCCACCTGAATTTTAAAAATATATATTAAGGGTAGCGATAAAGGAACACCTAAAATATATATTTATGGATAATATATAAATCTCTTTATTTTCTTTCTATCAGGGGAATGTTTGGATTAATGCATCATTAAATTCTAATGACAATTTTTGTTTCTCTAATAAAGAAACTGAACATGAAGTAAGTTTGCTTTTTTCTAATTATGTATAATCTAATTATATTAAATAATTGAACAAAAACTATGAATTTAGCATAAATTAATGTACGACAACATATAAATTTTTTTTTTCGGATTTCATTTTTCACTTTAATAAGAATGCACTATTTTATTTAAAAAATTTTTTAATTGTTTTCTGTTCCTTATTTTAAAGAGTTAGTTTTATTCAACTTAATAAAACCAATTTTATAAGCTTAGTTTTTATTTATTTACAACCTGGTTAGCCTAGCAGTCCATGATTTAAATTGTTTTATTTGTTTTTATCAACAATATATAATTCTTGAAAGTATGTACTTGTGATAATAGGAATGTAAAATAAATTTTGAGAATAAAACAATATGTTGTAATGTAATAATACAATATAACAATACAATATAATAATACAACAATATAATACCCTGCTACTAATTTTCCTAAGTATCTTTCCAATACAATCTCAAAATTTTAACATAGTTTTGAAATTTGTATTCACCAAAATTATTCACACAAAATTAGGCTTTACATTAGAGCATTTAAATCATTTCAAAGCAGTTTTTTTGGTGAATTGGAATTTAATCTATTTCCATTTTAATTTATTAAAAATTCTTTATATATATTTTTTTAGGTTTATAGAAACATGTTTCAAATCAGGAATAACAAGTTTTTTCCACAGTGGAAAAATTGCCTTTTGTTCAACCAAAGTGGAAGAAATAAGAGAACTCCATTTTAAAAAGAAATATTAAAAGTTTAAACACTCTTTTTAAACAGTTCATAATTGCTATCAAGTTAAAATAATTATATTATCTAAACTATTTAATGTATCACTTTCAATTAAGAGAAAACTATAAAGCAAATTTTTTGGAAAGAAATATAAAATTAAAGAATTTTGTGAATTAAATTATTTGTAGTCCTTCAATAATTCGCATAAATAAGCAAAGTAAAACCTAATTTTAAAATTAAATAAAGACTGTGAGAATATAATTTATGAAATTTAATTATTGTTACTAAATTAGCAAATCATACACTAAACATACTCTTACTATTAATGGTATATAGGATTCACATTAATGAACAACATACAAATTTTTATAATCACACTGTTATGAATGAATACTTCAACTGCTTCTTAACTAGTTTGAAATTTTTTTTTTTTTTAAACTGGAGTAAATGTGAGAAAAGCAATGTTTTTAAAAGTGAGAACTTTTCGTTTTTATATTTAATTTGTTTAAAATTATATTCTTATAACACTTATTTCTAAACAATTTTATTGGTTATTTTTAGTTTTCATTTTGTCCAGTTTTTTTTTCTTTCCATTTTCATCCAGTGTTCTGGAACAAATAGGTTTCTTTCAAACAAAATGCCAACCCTATTTTAAGTATATACTATAAACAAAATATGAAGTTTCAAACAGATTATAAAATGTTATTTTTATCATAAGCTTATAAATACAAAAGCTATCCTCATTGATTCGACTTGTGCTCAATTAACATATAGAACTAAAAATGAACTTGATTTTCGCAATTCGATCTTCTCATGCTGAGATAATATCAGTATTTTGTAAAAAAATTACGAGAATATCAATAATAACTGAGCAACTCAAGACATCGGGATTGAAGAAAAAAAAGTAAAAATTCATTGCCATAATTGCTGAAAAAATGGTCAAAACATCACATACAATTATGATTGAATCGGCGAGAGTTCTGAACGATGAACTGAAGACTGGTGCATGATTTGAAATTTTTATGCGCATAATATATTAAAAATATTAGGTCAATTTGGAAAATTTTATTAAAACATGGTTTAAAAAAACGAGGGACTATTGTATCAAATTGATTAATTAATTTGTAACGTGATTGGCTTTCACAGTCCAATTTTAATAAAATGTGCAATATGGTGTTCTTAAAAAAAAAAAAATAACGAAAGAACATGATTTCCAGAGCAAACTAAGTTTAAAGGTTTTCATGATTTTGCAGTTTTCTTTATATTATCTAATTGAACTTCTAGCAGAAACCAGTCTTTATCAAATTTTTTAATTCTCAAATAAGAATAGAGAAATCCTTAGCATTTATTTTCCCTTTGATGGGGGAGAAAGGCATCTTTCAAATCTAATTCTAGAAGGAAAAAAAAAATATTTTGAAAATTTCTGCAGAAAAGAAAACTAAAATTTTTTACTTTTATTTTTCATTCTCAAATGAGAATTAAAAAAACAAACACTTCTTTCCTTTCTGATGCACGAGAAAGGCATCTTTTGAATATAATTATGAAGAAAAAGAATTTTTTAGAAAATTTCTGCATGAAAGGAAACAGTTTTTTACTTCTCAAAAGAAAAATCTATCCGCATGAAGGTTCTGCGACAATGTTGTGTCACAGTGAATAGAACATGGAGTATATATAAATATGTGTACATCTTTAAAATTTTTTATTTCTATTTATGGATGTGTAAAGTGATTGGCATTTATAAATCAGTTAAAAATCTTTTTTTATTTTTACGTCTCTTTTTAAGCCACATCCAAGATATAGTTCACTCTTTAATGGCAATATTAAGAATATTAATTTATTACAGTCATATAGTACTTTTGCTGGAAATAAAGAGATTAAAGATGATTCTGAGGAACCTCCTATTAAGAGTTTTAATGATATCGATATGAATAATGAAGTAAGTTGTGCTTGCTTAATATTCTAAATCATTAAGAGATTATTTCATTATTATAGCCTCATTTAATGATTAAAGTGTCCTTAAGAGATTTTCCTTATAATTGGAACTACTTTAGTCAATCAAAGCAGTTTGTTTAAAAAACAATTAATTGTATTTATTAATTTTCATCAAATAATTGTTCAAAACGGAGGAGACATATTATGTATAAAACTAAATTTCCAAAATTTATTTTTTATACTTTTAATTCATTATATACAAGTAGACAATAATTTTTTTATAATTTTAAAAAAATTAGTTATTATAAAAACTTTTATTGGGTTTAATTATAATAAACTTTTTTTTTGGGGGTGTTATTAATATAAAAACTTTTTTTTGGGGTTTTGTTGCTTTTGAAATTTTTATATTTCAATTGTTATTTTCTTTACATGCATATCCTACTTGTATGGTTTTAAAAATGTTAAAAATAATTTTGAACATTCCCTATAAAGACCTTGAATTCAAATATCGAATGAGAGTAAAAAAAATTAGCTATTATTAAAAAAATTAAACATGGAGAGTAAGAAAATTTAACCATTGTTAAAAATCTTAAAAATGGGGGTGTTAATGGCTGAATGAAACTGATTTTGAAAAAGAAGTAAAATTAAAACTTTTAATTTTCCATATAAAGGTAACAAAAAAATATTTAATTTAGATTTTAAATTTAGTACAAAAATCTATACATTTTTAAATAATGAAAAATATTTTGAATTACTTTTTGCCTTATGCTGAGAAAAGTTATTTTTTTCTAATGACAAACTCTTAAAGCAAACACTACTTTTTTTTCAAGAATTATACTTAGGTGATACATAGCTTATTTACAATCTGTGTGTTGAGTTAATATGATTTTCATGTCTGAAATTCTACAAGCTTCAATTAATCTTTTTATGTTATTCCTTTTTTGTAAATCCTTCCACTCAGCTACGACATTATACATACACACACAATTAAAATTTTGAAGCATTACAGTGTTTCCTTAGAAAATTGGCCTTTTGAAACTTTCTTTCACCTGTTTTCTGGATAACAAAAAAAAAAAAAGAAGTTTTCTCTTTTGGTATTAAATAAGAAAATTGTGCATTGGGAGAACTTGCCCGAAGGAAAATGCTTAGTTGGTTAAATTAGGCTAATATACTTTCTTCTAATATATCATTTAATTTATATGTAATAGATATTTTACATCTTGCTGAAAAAGATCATTTGTTTAATTTTTTAAGGTATATTGTACCGATGAAAATGGTTATGTTTATTTAGTTTCTGCATCTCCAGAGGAAAATATTAATGTGAGTAATTTTCACTTATAATGTAATCTTATGTTTTTTTCCCCTTAAAATATGGAATAGTAATTTGATTTTCTGATTACCTCTATTCATTGATATTGAGATTCCTAATTTCTTGCCTCCTTTTGCGATTCTTAGTATCAGTCACAAGACTGAAAACCTTTCTTTCCGGGAGGAGAAATATATATTATGTTTAGCAACAACACTTTTGATAATAGCAAATGTCCTCTGGGTATTCATTAAAAATACAAATACTTTCACTCACTCTTACTTTTTAATTATAAGATAAGCCATTTTATTTTTCCAACTAAATTGGTGATGAAAATGGAACATTAATTGATTTAACTTAGATCTTTAAGATTGGGAAGAATTAAATTGGGTGGCTGATTATTAAATCATCAGCACTTAATGCTCTGTGACATATATCAGTTTTAAGCACTTTCTGCTTTAAGGGCCTTTTCCACAATAATATAACTAAATTAGAAAGAACCAGATATCTATGCAAAATCAAAAAATCTTTTTGTTGTGGACAGGAATTTTATCTGACACCAGTTTTTAAGGCATCTCAGTTACTGGTTTTGATAGTGATAAAAGAAAACGAGAGAAGCTTCACCTTTAAAGTTGAAGGGATCTTTATAATGGTAATAGAAAACATTGTTATTTTTGGTTTTCAAAGATTTTCTGTGAGCAGCATGGAAATTCCTTTAAAATGTTTTTTAATTTTGAAAATTATCTTATTCGAGAAAATATTTATAATTTTAAATAAAAACTCTTCACAAATTCTAGAAAATATTACATTTTTTTTTTTATAAAGGAAAGGGACTACAATAAATTTTATCCTTCGACCCTTAAAACCTAGCCTTAGTTGTATGTTTATTTTTCCAAAAGTTGATTTCTAATGCTTTTTTTTAGATTGATTATAGTAACTCCAGCAGTAATACTGATTCATTGCCTCTTATGAAAGAAAACGAAGATATGAATGTAAATATAATTACTTTTTATTAAAAATTCTGATTAAATTCATACTTTGTTTATGACTAATGAAATATTACATAATGAAATCTTATTTTGGAGTAAAAAATAGATTAAGAATTCTGATAGTAATGTTGTAAATTTTTGTGTAAAGGTATGATGTAATTTGTTTAAATTTCTACCTGATTAATAAGATTAATTAAACTCTTGAGTATTTATGAATTTGGCAATCTTAAGATTTTTTGAAATAATTGATATCACATTATAATTATTAGTTAGAAAAAGTTTTTTTTCTTGTCTGTCTGTCAAATTTTTGTGCATCCTACTCGGGTGGAAATGTAATTTTTTTTTGGCGTTTTGTAAAGTTCTTTATTTTGATAACTGTAATGTTTTAGTTTGTTTCTTTTTGCTTATTATTCAATTTAAAAGTTTTTACTTTATTTATTATATGTTTGCTTTTAAATTGTTTGCTAATGTCTTTATTATTTTTCAGTTCATTACTAGTATGAGTAACTCAAGCATTAATATGGCAGCCATGCTTTCTAATGAAGCAAGTCAAGACATAAGTGTAAATTTAATTTTTTTAATTAAAAATCATAACTTAGAGAGAGAGAACTTATTGTACATAATTTTAACTATATATAAGATTTTTTATTGTTAAATAATTAAGTAAAATAATTTTGACAGTATATGTATATATTTTAAAAATAAATTTTAGATTAAAGCATTGGTTCTAGACTGTAGTAATATTTGACTCTGTAGCAAGAAAGGCCCTAACTATCATCCAAAGATTTTAAGGGACATTGGTGAGAACCACTTCAGAGAAACATGTCAACCTGCTTTATATTTTCTAATTAAATGTTATTCCTTCTAGTTGTATTAAACTATATGATTTTCCTATAGTGTAACCATTATCAGAGGTCCGACAAACATATTTGATAATTATTTTAAATCAAGCACTCAAGCATTTGATTATATAATTCACAAAAATGATTATATCCTTATGAGAGCAAAGTGGAAACACAAATTTAATTTAGGCTACAAAATAAGACCTACCAGCATATAGCCAGATATTTTTATTCTGGTAATTATTTGCATGAAATACCATTATAAGATATAATTTTAAATTTTTAAAAATTCTTTTTACTATTTTTTTTGTTTTTATATATGTTTGTATATATCTTATAATTTGCTAGATCAATTAAAAAAAGGAAACTGCTAATATATTTTTACCAATACTTATGTAATTATGAGATTATTTAGCCTGTAAGTCTCAAGAATTGAGTAAAATATTAAAATCTGTAATAGGGTCTATAAAAGAAAAAAAAGTCTTTAAGGGGAAAGGAAGTCTTTGTACTAATTTTAACAAAACAATCTTTGGTTTGTTAAAATTTGGTTCGTTAAAATTTGGTTTGTAAATATTTTCTAATTAAATGTTATTCCTTCTAGTTGTATTAAACTATATGATTTTCCTATAGTGTAACCATTATCAGAGGTCCGACAAACATATTTATCATTTTAATGAACAAAGAAAAAAGATTATGGTTTATATTCGAATAAAATTTTAACTGAAGCAAATTTATTTTTCCTTGAAGGTATTATTTAGTTTCTAGTATTGCTTAATTTTTATTCTATTTCTATTATTAGTTTATTAAATTTGTATTAGTTTTTATTCTATTTCTATTAGTTTTTATTCTATTATTGGTTTATTAAATTTATATTAGTTCTTGAAAATAACTAAATTTTTAAAAGCTTTTGTTATTAAAGATTTAGTTTAATGGTTATGACAAATCTATAAATATTTTAAAATTTCCATTTGTTATAAATATTATATTGTACCTGTTGATTTTTTTTGAAAGCTTATGATTTAATTGTTTAGAATTCTACTTTATTTTTAATCTTTTAAATTTAAAATTTTTTCTTTCTATTATGCTTTTCATAAGGCTAAGAATTTAATGGTTTTAGATTTCATTTTATTTTTCTTGATGTAGTTTTAAATTCCAATGTATTTTTTTTAATTAAGAACTCTTATTTCTTAATTTTTTTGTTCAAAGCTAAAATGGTTGTAAAGCTTCTGATTAGACACTCTTAGATATTCATTGAAAATTTTATTCAATTAGTCATGTATGTAATATTTTTCAAATGCAAAATTTAAATAATTTGTTCTGAATAAATTGTAAATATTATCAAATTTGACTATTTAATCTAAATCTTATTATCCCTACTTTATTTTGAACTATTTAGGATTTGATGGAAATGGTTGAATTGGAAAAAAATAATGCTATTGCAAGGGATAATTTACCACTGTGGAGTGAAGGTTGGACTCCCAACATTAACAGTGTAGGTAATTTTATGAAAAATTAAGAATGATTAAAATATAGCTATTTAAATTTTAAGGCATGTTTTTTAAAATTTTTTTCCTCATTGTGGGTTACTGTTGTCCTAATCAATTATTTAAACTAGACTTGTGATTTTCTTAGTGTCACTTTTTGAGGATATTTTAGTAGACTGATGAATTGTTTTTTTAATTTTAAAACTTTTTTTCATTTTAAAACATGTTTTTTTTATAAGAAAGTAATAAAGAACAGAAAATTCTACTTGCTCAAAATTCATTACTTATGCTAATAAAGGGTGGACAAATTGTTTTAATAGGAAGCAAATTATGAAGCACTAACAGACATTGACAGATAATTATGAATCACTAAGGAGAACAAACTAGTAAAAAATCATTAACAAAACCATATTTGACAATTTCGCTTTTGTATGGTACTCCGGGAATTGCAACTACTAATGCAATTAACTTCACACTTGGCTTGAAATGGGAATCTTCCTTTCATCTGGGTGCTCCAGTCTTCGGACAAACAGAAGCTGCAAATTACCTTACCATGAACCAGTGATGTATGGCAAAGATATGACCATTCACAGGCAACAAATTTCTTTGACTATACAATACCTATCAGTCCCATAGGATTTTCCATTTATTGTTTGTGACTCACTGAAAAGGTAGACTGCAAATTGCATATTAAATGATTAAGCTCTAACTTATTTTAAAGGAAAAATTAAGTTATTTTCCAATATAGCAAATTGGTTGCTATTTAATTTAGGAAGTAAATTAAGGTGGGTAAAAAATGTTATTTCACATTGACTTTAAAAAACTGCTAAAAGATGCCTTTGTAATACTCAGTGTGCATAGCTTTACAAAGATCAGTTATTTCTTCATTAACCACTGCTATTACTTGGATTTTTACCCCTTAAGCTTCATAGTCTTGTAATGATAAATAATGTGTTAATTAATTTTATTTCTTGTACCTCTATGGTACATTTTTAATCTGTTTTTGAGAAATTATTGTTAGTGTTCTCATAAATATATTGTATCAGCAAAACAAAGGAAATAAATTTAGTTTAAAATCATTATTTTAATGAAAAATATAACTGCAACAACAGCACCATCTTAAAATACAACAAAGCCTTGAATTAGTGACACTCAATGGACTGGACATAAGCATTGTAAACGATGGCATGTTGCCATATCGAAGGCATGGAAATTCCCATGAAAACTAAAATTTAATTTTCTTCAAATTTAAATATATTTTGTTGGATACCTAAATAAAATCTGAAACTTAAATTAAATATAATTAATTTAGTAATAAGAGAAAATTTAATTATATCTCTGAGAGAAAAATTGGCATTTTTTTTTTTGGTTACCCTTTTTTGTCTTAAAAAAATCAATGAATTTTCTACTATTTCCAAGGCATCCATTTCTCTCTTTTTCCTTAAAAGGAAATTTCCATTCACTCCAGTGAGGAGCATAACTGTTGATTCATTGAATGATTGGGGGGGGGGGAACTAAAGGTTCAGTTTTCATCACTTGCTTCACGAGTGAAAAATTTTCCATTATTTCAGCTATTGAAATTGTCTCTTGATTTTCGAGTCGTCACATTGCGAATACTTAATATTGTCTGTACCGGCTTTTCGTTCTGAGATGTTGTCAGTATTCTTTGGGTTGAAACTGGTGGAAGACTACCTTTTTAAAAAATTTTCTAGATCCTCAATATTTCAGGGAAATAGTATTATAAGGCCGTTTCAAATCTAAATATCATAATTTTTTTTCTTCATTATTGATATAAGAAATGAAAGGGGCCATGAAAAGATGTTAAAAGCAATAAGTTTTTATTCACAGGTGACTTTAAATTTGGGTTCTACTGTATTTAAATTTTTGCCAAATGTTGCACAATAATTGTCTTGAAAAGCAACTTTTGACTGTTGTCAAAAGTTGATTTCTATTTCCATCTTACACTGAAGAGAAATATTTGCACAAATGTTCCCTAGCAACTTGTAAGCTACTTATATATTTTTACCAATACTTATGTAATTATGAGATTATTTAGCCCGTAAGTCTCGAGAACTGAGTAAAATGTTAAAAGCTAGAATAGGGTCCATAAAAGAAAAAATCTAAAAAGGGAAGGGGAGTCCTTGTACTAATTTTTGCAATCTTTGGTTTAAATCATTTTAATGAACAAAGAAAAAAGATTATGGTTGCATAAAATTTTAACTAAAAAGATTTCTTTTTCCTTAAAGGTATTATTTAGTTTCTAGTATTGCTTTATTTTTATTATAATTCTATTATTAGTTAATTAAATTTATATTCGTTCCCGAAAGTAACTGTAATTTTTTAAAAACTTTTGTTTTTAAAGATTTAGTTAAATAGTTATGACAAAAATCTATAAATATTTTGAAACTTCCATTTATTATAAGTATTATATTGTACTTATTGATTCTTTCTATTTTTAATTTTTTTTTAAAAGCTTGTGATTAAATTGTTTGGAATTCTACTTTATTTTTAATGGTTAAGATTTAAAATATTTTCATTCTATTATGCTTCTTATGAGGCTGAAAATTTAATGGTTTTAGATTTCATTTTATTTTTCATGATATAGTTTTAAATATCAATGTATTAAGAACTTTTATTTCTTAAATATTTTTTTTTTCAAATTTAAAAGGGATGTAATGCTTCCGATTAGACACTTTTGGATATGCATTGAAAATTTTATTCAATTAGTCATGTATGTAATTTTGTTCAAATGCAAAATTTAAATAATTTGTTCTGAATAAATTGTAAAGATAATAAAGTTTGACTATTTTATCTCATTCTTATTATCCCTACTTTATTTTGAACTATTTAGGATTTGATGGAAATGGTTGAATTGGAAAAAAATGATGCTATTGCAATGGATAATTTACCACTGTGGGGTGAAGGTTGTATTCTCAATATTAACAGTGTAGGTAATTTTATGAAATATTAAGAATGTTTAAAATAACTATTTAAATTTGAAGGCATATTTTTTAAATTTTTTCTCTCAATGTGTGTCACAGTTGTGATAATCAATTATTTAAACTGGATCTATGAAAAAAAAAATGGCATTTTTGTTTGTTTACCTTTTTTTGTCTTCAAGAAAACAATGAATTTTCTACTAATTCAAAGGCATCCATTTCTCCTTTTTTTTCCTTAAAAGTAGGGGTGCACAACCTTTTTGAGTGAAGGGCCACTTGCACAGCTGGTTGGCTAACGAAGGGCCGCACATGTATTTAGACATGTTAATGACAAATGTAGTAATGTTTATTTAAACATTAGCGTTCCATTTTTTTTATCAATAAACTTAGTAATATCAATAACTTAGTAGTGTTCCATTATTAGAATTCATTGAAAAATAAAAAAACTTATACTTTTTTTTTACAAAAAACAACTTGCTATTTTTATTATATGAACAATAGATTTATCAAAATAAATAAACATTGATGAAAAGAAATGTTTTTTTTATCATATCATGCAATACGAAAATTCATTTTAGAATTAAATTCTAATAAATAAAAAAAAACTGCAATGCCCACAGAATGAAAGTAGGAAAAAGTTTAGTCATATTTAAGTATTATAAATTCAAATTAAATATTTTAATTGAAGAAAATTTATAGGTTTTAAACAAAAGCCTAAAATAAAAACAAAACTGTGATAGTTCAAAATAAAATTCAATGCTTATTTTGTAATGTACTTTATTATTTTATTTTATTAATTATTAGATTTTTTATATCGTAAACATTTTCCTTTTTTTTATCGAAAAAGATCACTTAAGCAACAAAAAATTGAAATCTAAACTACTAACAGTGAGCAGTTTAAAAATTCACGTTTTCCGCCATTTTATGAATTTCTCAAGTTGCAATAACATTGCATTTAAATTAGGGAGGGATGTAACGAGTATTTGGCCCTTCTGTGAAAAATTCAGTTGGTTGAATGATCAGTCAAATATTTGGCAAAATATTTTTTAGAAATGCATTTTTCTAAGTTTTTTTTATTTTTGAATTTTTATAGATATTACTTTTTTTTTTTAAATTATAATCAGACAAGTCAATTTTGTCATTTTTTCGATACTTTGAGAATTGAGAAGGATCCATTTTTTGCAGTTTTTATTATAACCCAGCATTTTAACAGAACGTCTCATACTATTAATTTATTATCACTCTTTCCCTGTACTGTAATATAAATAACCAGTAACATAGAAAAGTGTGATTTTCAGTATTAAAGTTTTGTTTCTGGAACTAAGAAAAATTTGTTTTTTCTGTTTTTCTTTTTTAGGCATTTTTATTATGACTCAGCATTTTTTTTAAAAATAAAGTTACTAATAAAGTTTATATTATAGCAATTTTTTTCTTCCAAAATTATGGCAATGAGAAAACTTTAAATTGAGATTCTGAGCATAAGTTTTTCATTTTAAAAATTAAGAACGTTTTTTCTATCTTTTTATTTTCTTTAAATAAAAAAAAAACTTTTTTTATACGCTTTCACTATAACGCAGTAATTTTTAATAGCAGTTCTGATGACTTAATTCATTTTTCTTGGCTTTTTCTGGCAATTGAAAAACTGAGATGTTCAGCTTTAAAAAAATTTTTCAAAAATTAAGATTGGTTTTTATGTTCTCTGTTTCGCTTTTCGACATTTTCAAAAACGTTCTTGATTTGCCTTGATTGGCAAAAACGTTCTTTTTAGAGTTAATTTATGAATACGTTTTTCTAGGAAATATTATTCTGAGCATTAAAATTTTAGTTTCAGTGTTTAGTAGCAGTAAAAGATTTTGCTATTTGGCCCCAATTGTACTGCGTTCAGTCGATTTTTTCTTCTTTTTTTTGCCGAATATTTGGTTTTTGACCAAATCACAATTCATTATTACATTCGACCAAATCATATTCGTTGCGGAAATAAAAACGAAGGAAAAATAACTAGGATTTACGATAAAACTCTACCGAAATACCGTATCAAAAAGTGATTATTTAATTGCGCGATTAACAATCACGTGTCGTAATAACATCATAGTTAAATAACGGGATAGTCAAAATCACGTGGAAAAGCATAGAAATAAGTGGGAAAATATATATTTATGCTGAAATCAGCACGAATAAAGCGTGTCAAATGCATGATTTAAAATTTGCATGTCGTAATAGAATAATTGGAATTTTTTATAATACGTGGGAACGCATAGCAATAACTGCCGAAAAAAATTGTTGAAAAAAGAGAAAGAATTGCAAAAAAAAAATAAAAAATCACTTGCATTTAAAATGAAATCGTCACAAATAAAGTGCAAGAAAAGTGATTATTTAAATTTGCGATCTGAAACTCGCGTCGTAATAAAAATTCGGGATTTTCGAAATCACGTAGAAAAGCGGAAATAACTGTTTTAAAAAAATCATTTATATTTACTATAAAATCGGCTTAAAGATAGCGCGTTAAACATACATTTACTAAAGAATCTGTTAAAATTAATTGTGTCAAAACGTGATGACTTAAAAGTGCGATTAAAAATTGCCCTTTTTTAAAATTTTTTTATTGTGTTTAGAAGCTCTCGCGGGCCGCACTTCGGTAGTCGAAGGGCCGCATTTGGCCCGCGGGCCGCAGGTTGTGCACCCCTACTTAAAAGGAAATTTTTATTCTCTCCAGTGAGGAGCAAAACTGTTGATTCATTGAATAATAGTGGTGGAACTAAAGATTCAGTTTTCATCCCTTGCTTCGCCAGTAAAAATTTCTGTTATTTTTGAGCTATTGAAATTGTCTCTTGATTCTCAAGTAATCACATTGGGAATACTCCACATTGTCTGTATCAGCTTTTTCTTCTGAGATACTGTCAGTATTCTTTGGGGTGAAACTGGTGTAAGACTACCTTTTTTAAAAAATTTTCTACATCCTTGAAATTTCAGCAAAAAAGTATTATAATGCTGTTTCAAAAATTAGTCTTGTAAGTAATTTTGTTAAAATGCAAAATTTAAACAATGTATTCCGAATAAATTGTGAATATTATCAAGTTTTACTATTTTATCTCAATCTTATTTTGAACTATTTAGGATTTGATGGATGAATTGGAAAAAAATGATGCTATTGCAAAGGATAATTTACCACTGTGGAGTGAAGGTTGTACTCCCAGTATTAACAGTGTAGGTAATTTTATGAAAAGTTAAGAATGTTAAAATAGCTATTTAAATTTTACGGCATATTTTTATATTTTTTCGTCAATGTAGGTTACTGTTGTCATAATTAATTATTTAAACTAGACTTGTAATTTTTGAAGTGTTACTTTAGTAGACTGTTGTATTTTTTTCATTTTAATACATGTTTGATGAGAAAGTAGTAAAGAACAGAAAATTCTAATTGCTCAAAATTAATTACTTATGCTAATAAAATAGTGGATGAATTGTTTTAATATGAAGCAAATTATGAAGCACTAAGCAGAACAGACTAATTAGTCAAAAATCATAAACAAGAACATATTTGACAGTTTCGCTTTTGTATGTTACTTGGGGAGAATTGCAACTACTAATGCAGATAATTTCACACTTTGCATGAAATGGGAATCTTCCTTTTCATAATGCCATGAAGGTTTTTTTTAATGTTTTGCACTATAAATGTGTTTGGCTAATTATTATTAAATAAACCCATTATAATTTATTTTTATGTCGGCTATTCAGATTTTAACTATTTTTAGCACGTTAATTAAATTCACCTTTTGATAAGAGAAAATACTGAATTTTAAGATGCCATTTGTCTCTGAGCAAAGCAGTTTCTAAAAGTAAAATTTTTTGCAGTTTTTAAACAGCTAAAACTTGAGAGCTAATTATCCTAAACAGCTAAATTTTGTGCTGTTTTGCTCAGTTTTTAATGACAGTTAATTAAATATATAGCATGGTCTTATTGATTAATAAATATGTATATTTTTTAAATTTTAAAATACTCCAAAACACGATTTTTAATATTTTTGAAAAAAAAAAATATTTTAACTTCAGCTCAATGTACTTGCCAAATTTTAAGACAATATTCCTATTGGATCATAAAGATAAAAAAATTTTCTTGTTGAACAACTGACATAATATGTCATGTGTTTTAACTACTTGAGTTGTAATCTTAAAACTAGAAAATATTTTTTTCCTCTCTGATCCAGGATGCGTAGCAATTTAATAATGTGCTTAAAGGTGCTTATTTTTGATTTACGATTTTTAAAAACTCTTAAAGGTGCTTTTTTCATTCAGGTTTGAGAAAAGTGCTTAATTTTCTATTTTTTAATATTAGACCATGCTGGTTGTCGTTCTAAATTACAAGAAATGCAAGATTTTCTCAATTTTCTCTGTAATATTTATCAGAAACTAGTTGTTTTTTTATGATAATGTTTTTTGAATTTTATTGATTTTATGTTTATAAATTAAGAACTTTAAAAGATAGAAAAAAATAATTTTTATTACTGCACAGATCCTAATTATGAATTTTTCTTTGTTGGAAAGTGATTAAAAATATTTTTTGAGTGCTTAGAAAGTGCTTATTTTTTGTTGAAAAATCTGGCTATGCACCCTGTGATCTCATTGGGATACGATCTTAAAATTCGACGCATATATTGTTAAATAAAATATTTTTTCCAAAAAATTTTAATTTTAAATTTTTAAAAAAATTCTAAATCAGAAGAAAATTTAAAAAAAAATTCTTTGTTTAAAAAGTTAAGCCATGTTACATTATTTTAATAAACGCCATTTAGAACTGAACTAAATGCCTTTAAATTTACCTCTCTTGGTCAATTAGTTCTTGAGTTACAGCTGTTTAATAACTGCTCAAAATTTATGAATTTTTGAAATTTCAAAAAAATTTCTAATTTTGAAACTAATATTATTCGTAAAACCTTTATAAAACTAATTCATAAAATCTTAAACTTTTTATTTTTTTATCCATTCTATAAGCCAAAAATAAGATAAATACAAAGACTTAAAATTTGCTGTGGTCTATCAACCTTGGTTTTAGAGCCACTCAGTGAAGATCTGCCCAGTAAAACTGAATCTCTTTGACGGGGTCATTATTGTAATCAGTGCCGGATTAAGCGTAGTGGGGCCCTAGGCCATTATTTTTTGGGCCCTTAGATTAAATTTTTTTCTGTGTATTTTTTATTTATTCAAATATAAAAGTATTTATAGATCTATTAATTTTAGAAAGATTAAATCTGATTAACATTATGTAAAAAAATTCTCGTATTTTATTAATATATATTTGAAATATAATTTTTTTCTTCTTAAAAATCATTGTTTTTCTTAAATTTTTTTAAAATTTATTTTCAAAAAATCCATTTTGAGGGGACCCCTAATCATTGGGGGCTCTAGGCCATGGCCTATTGGGTAAGCCGACACTGATTGTAATTTTAGTTATGGTCCAGGATAGAGCATACTCTTGAATGATCTAAGCATTCTTGACTTGCTAACAGTGCAGCCAGCACTCGGGTGATGGGATGTCATAAATAAGGTTTCACAGCAGGTAGTCTTGTTCTATGTTTATCTTAAAAGTTGCCATACTTGGTGCTTGCTTATCATCCGGAGCAAGACTTTTCCATTGCTTACTAAAAATAGTAGCTTTACTTGCTCTCAGTTCTTATCGCTGAGATGTAATTCTTGTTTGAGATTTGTTGCGATTGAGGTTGCCTGGGTGTTAATCCCTGTTTTGATAGTTTGTACTGATGGTTCCAGAACTACATGTTCTGGAACAATTCGAATCTTATAGTCCACCTGAAATCGAATAAACGCTCTAACCTAAAGGTTAAATCAAGGTTGCACAAGTTTACACCAACTCTTAAGTGCTTAAAAAGTTATTTGCAAAAAGATCAATCAACATATTAAAAGTAGAGACTTAGAACCAATGAAAAAAGAAAAATGATATTGATTTACCGATTAGTGAAAATAACCAAAAAAATTAATGAGTTTGAAAGAATGAGCCAATTGTAGGCATAGTAAAATAGGGAACAGGAAGATTGAAAAATGCTGCAGAAGTTCGAAATATTGTGGAAATAACTGCTGCATGTAATTTAATACCTGAAGGAATTGATAGCTACAAAATTCTGAAACAAATGTTGAGACATGGAGTGTTGAGTCTACTCAACTCCAGTCCTGAAATGTTATGTTCGAATTGGATACTTGTGTTGCCAAAATAGATGAAATCTGGCATAGTAGAGCTCTAAAATTTAGAATCAGAAAGGACTGACTTAAAAACTTGGAAAAAAAGAAATTTTGAAAAAGCAACTTAAAATTAAATAAGGCTTCTAAATTTTTACTATAATTTTTAATGTAAATTGCTTATTTGAAATTTAATAGCAGCCAATAGATTTTTGTTAAAATAGTAAGGTGAAAATAAAAGATACTTTTATGTTGAAGTATAAAAGTATACATTCGTGGAAAGTATACATTCTTATGGGATCAAATTAGTCTACCATGATTTCATAAAGACCATTGTAAGAGTATGCATTCTTATATTTGCATTAAATATGACTTGTATTAATATGTTTTACAAATTGATTAATATGCTATACAAAATATGTATTTTCAATTTTACAAGTCAGTTGTTATTTAATAGTGTAGCTTATTTTTAGCTTAACAAAATCTTAAAATACTCCTAAAACTGGAGAAGAATGTCCCTAAAAGAACCCTTAAAAAACTAAAAAAAAGTTCTGCTACCCCGTATATTGTTTTGGTATCAATCAGAAAATCTGCTCTCGCTAGGCTATTTAGGCTCTTGAATTCAGCTGTTCCTGCATGCATATGTGGAGGCCACCTTACCATCTTAGTTTCTAATATGAGAACAAACACTTGCAGCTAAGAAACCCTTGAATTCTAGGTAGTAGTAGACTAGGGACTTTTTGAAGAATGTCCCTAATAATACCCTAAAAATTAGAAGGAAAAAAAAAACTCTACTAGGATCCCTGGTGTTTTGCTGTCAATCAGAAAATTCGTTTTCGCACGGGTCTCTCAAACTCAGCTGTTGAAGTGTGTATATTGACCGCCCTACTATCATAGTTCCTAATATGAGAACATATACAGCAAAGAAACAAATTCTATGCAGTAGTAAGCAGCACTTGTGTTTTGTAAATAAATATGGAGATATGATTTTTCTTATAATGATGATTGTTCAAATATTTATATCAATGCTATATTTTTGTATTATGAAGTCATTTTTCTATTGCAGGGGATGAATATTAATGACGTTGCTAACGAATTGTAAAAGATTCAGAAGAAAATATGCATATGAGGATTTTTTGTTGCAATATTTCTCGGTGATTTGTTTGATTATCGCTTTGATTATTTGCTTTTATGTAAAATTTTTCTACTGGTGATTGATTTGCTTATTGTAAATTTGTGCATTTAGTCCTGTTGATTTTTTTTATATAGTTTAATGATTTAATGAAGAATTTTATTCGAATAATTAGTTGTGAGCTTTGTTGCAATTTATGCTTTATAAAATTATTGTTTAATGCAATCTGAAGTTACTTTTAAATATTTCAGATTTTAATTGAATTTGTACTTTTTTTTAATCCTTTTGGTTATAAATAAAATTTTTAAAAGGTTTTGCACCTATTGTTTTCTGTTGCATGTTATTTGATTACTAAAATATTTATATTATGGTCCACACACATCATGCTGATTGAAAAGTCTGGTGTGATGTAATTATTTTTTCTTTAGAAAAATTTATTGAGGGTTATGTTATGCCTAGTATTGAATTGAATGTATAGTTTAATGGCACAAAACTTGTACTGAATTCATGGTCTATACTTAGAATAACAAGAAATGTTGTTAAAAATCAATATTTGGTACGAAAATAAATATTGAAAGGAAAAAGTAGTGACTATGGTTCAGTGGGGACATTCTCACTGTTTCAGAAACTTTTAGGAAGGCTAAGTTGTTCTTTTCTTTCATCAGTTGCTGATGTGAGACAAGCCAAAGAAGTGAATGAGATGTGAAAGCAATAAATTTTTAAAAATCAATTAAGATTGATTGATTGCATTGTAAATTTGTACTTAGATCAATTTTTGTATTATTTTTCTTAATAAAAAAAAATTTACTTTTTGGCAGAATGGAAAAAAAAATCGTCTGAATCGAATTGACTGTGTAACGAACTAACACATGCATTTCCCCATCTTTGTGCCAATCAACAAAGCCTTCCTTTGTGTCCTGGGGGAGTGAGAATCTTTTGGAGTGGGGAGGGGGGGGGGAGAGTATATTGAGGCAGTGATTTCTACATTTATTTTTAAAGATAAAACACTGAAAAAGTTTCTTAAAAATTATCCTTGGGGAAATAATGATTTTAATTAGTTATCAGTGCTAATTGTAGCAGCTGACATAGTAATATTCCTCAGGTTTTTAATAGGTGAAATAAGTTAAAAAATAAAAAAAAGTATGGTTTAATCACAACTGCCTATTGTTGATTTGAAGGGTAGTGGAGGTTAATGCTGCAAAATTTTAAGCCAACATTTCTGCTTGTTCACCTTTAATTTAAGGTGGGTTTCAAGTCAATGCCAAGGATAGACCCTTGGTGCTTTTCAATAACAGTTTTGTGCCTTAACCTATATGGTATGTTATTGTTTTTGTGAAGGTTGTGTGATTAAATATTAATAAATACTTTTTTTTATCTGAGGTTTTTATCATGTAAAAGAGCAGATTAAATAAGGAGAGGTTTGCTCTAATTTGAATATTAGTTTTTTATTTTTAGTGTAGTCATATCTTAGGTTTCTATTATTTGTTAGGCTATTATTTGCTTATGGCTTTTATGTGGATGGTGATTTTCCATAAGTTCTAATAGAGAGTTGATATGCCAATATTTTTCTACCTTTCAAGAAAATTTTTTTTAAAGTTTTAATCATGTGAGGCAGTATAATACATTTAAAAAAACTTAATGTTTGTGAAACAAAATTTAAATCTTCATGACAAATAAAAGATTTTTTGTTCTTGTGCATGTGCTCGTGTACTATAAGTTTTCTTTTCTTTATAAATATTTCAAACATTTGAGGTCATAAAGTAATTTTTAAAATTTTTTGTCAGTTTCAAAGTTTTTTATTTCATTTTCCTTTGGATTCTTAGTGTTAATTCATGGAGCTGAAATGTACTAGTTTTGTTTAGAAAATTCTTTGATTTTTATTATGTGAAACAGTGAGATAGTTGTTTTTTATCGTCATAAGAATTATAATTTTTTTATTATTACAGCATTCACTTAAGTTGAAATGTGGTAAATATTTTTTGTAAAATTGTATCTTGAGTTAAGCAAAATTATAGTTTTAGTGATTTTTTTTTCTATCAGAAAATTCTATTCTTATTTCAAAAATTATTACGTTTGCTTTTCTGTAGTCTCTAATGAAAATTCATAACATTTACTGTTTTTTTTTCTTCCAATGTTATATTTTTCTTAGCGTTGCCGTTTCAAGCAAATGTTTCTTTAAGTAATATATTAAATAAGACTGCATGATTTAACGTGTATGGATTCGTTTAGAACATAAAGTTTAATTTGTTTAAAAAATCAAGCTTAATTACAAAATTAGAAGTAAATGGGTTATTCAAGTCATTTCAGTTTTTATCTTATAAATGAATACTGTTTGTATGAAAAATCAAATGACATATGTTATAATGTTAAGTAATCAAAAATATGTTGTTGAATGCAATAAACAGTTCTCTATGTAAGCTAAACAGAATTCTCATATGTGTGTTCATTGTACTAATTCACATTTTTTTATCCGTTTGCACAATATCTAATGTACGTATGTTAGGAAGGACTATGTTGTCACTGTCCACTTTTAAACTACCTTTGACAACTGATTTGTTCTACAGCCCAAAGAAAGTTTTCCACTAAGTAAATATTTTATAATATAAGTAGTTTGCAGCTCTATGTAATCAAAAATAAGTTTCATTTGGGAGTTTGTGGCATGTTTTTAATGCTTACTTAGGTTTATTTGTTAGATTAGCAGAAGTAAGACCGAATAATTCCAAGTGACATCTTCGATAATTAATTTTTAAATATCTACAACTATATTTTTCTTTTTCCGATATTTACGCTTATCAAGATTTGCTTCTGCGAACCTAAATGTATAAATAATAAATTCATGAAATTAAAATGAAGCTATGCATCCATTCGAAAAATTGTAGTAAATTTTAACTAACGAGGGTTATTTAGTACTATAGTTAGCCTTTCTTTTTGCGAGTTGAATTTCTAAAACTTTTTTTTTCTTTGATAAGCAACCAGAATAAAATAAAAAATTGTAGTTGTGCACGAAGTTCTGATAGAGTAAAGAGCATTTTATTCTAGCTAAAAAAAGTTTTGTAGTACCATGATAGTATGTTCAATGTTAATAAATATTAAAGCCATTAGTAATTATTTTAGAGAATACCTAATGAATACAATTATTATTTTAGAGAATTACTAATATGATTATAATAAATCTTGAGTTTCTTGAATTAGTATTTTGAACTAACTGCTATTTAGCATGATAGGTTATCTTTATATATAAAAGAAAATATTTGTGATCTTTATAATATCTGCCATTTTGAACCGATTAACACCATATTCTGGTATACGATAAGCCAAAAGGAAGATATCCTGAATGAAATTTGTAGTATTGTTCGAATTATTCAAGGGTTGACTTGCAAGTTTCATCAGGAATAGGCGTATTAATTATTGCTGAAAGTCGTGTATGAGTACGCGAGTGAGATTTAAAGTACATGGTTGGGCCTAGTCACGTGGTTTTGCTTGGCGGGTTAACGTTACAGCAACTACGCATGGATTATTATCACTGAATAAATTTTTGGATCAGATTTAATTAGATTTCTGTCAGCGATGTCATGCGCGTGTTTCGAACCTTATTGGCCTATAAATCGTGGCATAAACGAATGTCATGTTTTATCTACGATGACGTTGCTCGTTAGACCGATCGATACAAATCCCGCACCCGGTTCGCACTGACCACAATGCTGACGTAAAATTATCCTCAGTGGTAGACGGATCATGGGTTAGAGTCCCTTTTCTGTCAGAATAACCGTGGGTGGTTTCATGATTTTCCTCTCCATGTAACGCAATTGCGGGTTGTTCTATCCATAAGGACAAATTTATCCCAATGCTTGATCCAGGAGCTCACTTGTCCTCTGGATTGGGTTCAAAATTACAAGGATACGGAATTGAACATTAGTAGTCGTAAACCCAAATAATTGGGTCGACGTCGACTGTTCAACGACGGTTATAAAATAAAATAAAAATACTTAGAGAAAAAATATTTTTGAAACTTTCTTCAATTATAATGAACTCTTTGCTATCATAACTACATAAAAAATTATATTTATTTAAACACCTTAGATTCTAACAGTACAAAAACAGGAATATATAATTTATAATAAAAACTTATTTATTTATGATGCTTTCCAACGATTTGGTTAATTTTTTTTTTTTATCGAATATAAGTCGGAGTCAATTCTCATAAAACTCCGGAGATGAAGGTGAACTACCAACACAACAACTGTGTTTGAATTCACTCCAGAAAAGAATATTTAAAAAAGTTTAAATTTGTGAGCTGTATTTTGTACATTTTGGGAGAAAAAAAAAAGAATGAAATCATGTAAATTAGTTCTGCAAGTTCATCTTCATACGTATAATTTTTATTTTTTTATTTTCTTTGTCCATATATACATAAAAATGGTTTTATTATTAAGTTTCCCATTTAAATCAGTTACAAACAGAATCTGCTTATTTTTATTTCAAAAAAGTTTTTTTTATTACCTGTGAACTTAAATTGCCCAGACAGCTTTGAATGATATATAGTCTCATTTTGAGAACAATTGATTTGTCAAAATCAAGGACAATTGACATCTTTAAATCTAAGTTAAACGGTTATTTCCGAAAATATATTTTATAGTATTTTTTTTCTCTTAACATTTGAAAACGAATAAAAAAAAAATCTTAATTAACAGAAAGATTTTTTTAATGTAATTTTTTTAACCAAGAAAATAAATTCTTAAACATTTAGAAAAGTTAAGGCTACTTCTGCTGAATATGCATATTAGTATTTTTATCCCCTTCACATTTAGAAATCAACATTTAGCATAAAAAGTTTAATTGGTAGAAGAATTGCTTCTATTAACTTTTATCAAAAAAAGTGGAATCTTGGATATTTTGAAAAGTTTTCATTCGTATTTTAACACGTACAGTCCTCGAAGGAGTATAATGGAGTACTGAATAATTAAATTCGTTTTTTCATTTAAATTATATTTTAAATTTGTGTTCATTACAATTCAAATTTTTGATTCAATATTTTAACGCTTTTGAAGAAAATAGACTTCAATAAATATTTTCCTCGATCAATGGATAAAAGTCATTACAAGAGGTAAAATAAAAATGCAAACGGGTTTTGTTATCTTCCTTATAAAATTCGAAATACGTCAAAATGACGTCCCGTAAACCTAGTGTTAAAAATATTCTTATAAATTAACAAAAAATTTTAATCGAAATAAAATATGAAAAAAAGCCAAATTTTAAACAAAAAAATTTACATAAATATTAATCAATCGTTTTGGGATCGTCGTCTTTGGGATAAATCGTCGCAATTGTAATGGAATGTTTTGCCTTAGTAGAGGTAACCGTTATAAATGATATATGTTTCGCCTAAGTATCAAATGTAACCCATAATGATTTTACTTAATTGTTTTAATCTAATGTGAGATATTTTTATATTATAATTTTATATCGAATTCCTAAATTATCTCGGAAAAAAAAATTACTGAAATTAAAATTGGACACAATAAAATTGATTGATGATCGGATTGATCTGTGGATTAATTGGTTGGAAATACGGATATTTTCTCCCATTGTTTTACTGTAGTGAAATAAACAGATAAGGTAAGATCCGAAAAGAAAGATAAGCTATGGCTAAAAAATTATATCAGGAAGAAATACTTGCCACTAAAACTTAAACATAATATATAAATGCAGATTTTTAAGAAATTAAAAATCAATTTAGAAGTATGTAGAAATATTCTGTTGCTTTAATTAATCACTGATGTTATTTTTATTTTTCATTCCGAAATGAAAGGTCAAAGGAGTCACGCATGCAGTAATTTTTAGAATAACGAAATTAGAATCTGAGAATAAAGAAATCTCGATTTAAATAAATCGCTGAGTTAGGTATATGGTGAGATTATATCCGTTACGAAAATTACGGACAGCAATTGTGATGTGGAAGTCTACGAAAGACAACAATGAATAAGGTTAGAGGTGGGAGGGGAGAAACAGCATCAAATCAAAATTGTTCTGAAAATGCATCAAAAGTCAAATGTGATACGTGTTTTCAAGAGAAAGCTTTTGCAAACGGATTTATAAAACCGAATATATCAAAAGGTGCTAGGTGGCCTGTATTATCCTAAATCGTATCATAAGCAAGAAAATCTAGAATGGGCCAGCAAGTACATATCGTGAATGGATTAATGTGCTGCTGATCATCAAAAAAAAAAAAAAAGAAAGTTAGAAACTGGATGGGCAAGATAGTTATAGCCATCAATGAAATAAGAAAGAACTCAAGAGAATTATACAATTTGGTAGGCAAGGACAGAGCACAGTTTATGATGTAGGTTTTTTTAATTTAAAGGTCAAACTATCTTGGCAATTTTAAGGGTGGGCCAGTCTAAAACTTATATGTTTTTAGCTAACCATAATTTAACGAGGATTTATATATATATATATAANTATATATATATATAAATAAATGCACGTTAAATTATGGTTAACTGAAAACATATAATAAGTTTTAGACTGTCCCACCCTTAGCCAGATCTGAACCCAATAGACAATGTTTAGTAGGGCATTTCTATACGTTGCAAGCCACTTAAACAGCATGGTATAATATCGAATCAGAAACCATGCAAAATCTTGTCATTTCAACGGAAAGCCTTGTGTTTCAATTGATTAAAAAATGGATTTTCACATTATTTTATTTCCTTTGATATTAATTATTGAACAAATATTGTCATTTGTGCCTAATCGTTTAAAATTGCTAAAAATGTTAATATTTATACATTCAGCTTAAATTTGTTTTTGTAATTGTTTTTTTTTCTTTCCATGGTATGTTTTTCTATCAATTTATTACAACTTCAGTAAAGTGATTGAAAGAAAAAATTACAATTACTTAAGAGTTTATGTAAAAAAATTTATATAGTGCCTAAAGTTTTATGTCTGAGCAGTACATTTTTCGCATTTGCCTTTCTTTGGATTTTTATAGTCTAAATATTCGCCAGATTTCCAGAAATAAAGAAAGAGCTGCTTTTTCAAAAAGTTAGAAGATAAAACTTATTTGGTAACGATGAAGTTCATAGCCTTAGTTAAAAATCTCCGATGCTCACAAGAGATGGGTATGGTTATAAATAATAAAGCAAAATAATGGGCATCATTAAACAAAAAACCGAGTCTAGATTCAAGAGAGGGCAAAGACATTACAACAATGAGATTACCCTCATTGTCTTGTCATTTATATAATATTTCTTAGGGGTTTTTCCATCGTTAATAAACATATCTAAATCATACTTAGGTACTTTTAGGATTTATGGTTCAACGAAAGAGCGAAGCTCGTAATGTCGTTGTTGAAACGTAATCCATTGAGTAAGAGAAACAAACAATAAAAATGATTGCTAAATGTGGAATATTCCTTTTAGAATTAAG